CCGCAGTGGCCCCGGGGCCATCCTGGGGGTTGGGGGCGCCTGGCACCGTCGGACAAGCAGGCGGAGGGCCAGCTCCGGCCGTCGGGGGCCTTGGGCCGCCGTTCGGCTCAGGGGCCTCTCCTCCCTGCTCTCTCCCGGGTCGAGTCGACACAGGGTGGGGATGCGCGGAGTGAGGGTTGTCCTCGTCGCGCTCCACGACCAACGCCGCGCTGACCACCTGCGGGGTTGCCGCCAGGTAGAATAGCAACGGCTCATCTGGCTCCGGGGCGACCAGGACTGGGGGAGAACTGAGGTACGCCTTCAACTGAGTGAAGGCCCGCTTAGCCTCCTCCGTCCAGGTAAACGGCCCGGAGCGTTTGAGGAGCTTAAATAGGGGTAGTGCCTTCTCTCCCAGCCTCGATATGAACCGACTTAGGGCGGCCATGCAGCCGGTGACGCACTGCACATCCCTAAGCTTGCTGGGGGGGCGCATCCGCTCTATAGCTCGTATCTTCTCGGGGTTGGCCTCGATGCCTCAGGCAGAGACCAAGAACCCGAGAAGCTTGCCCGCAGGCACGCCGAACACGCACTTATCGGGGTTCAGCTTTATGCGGGCGGAGCGGAGACTTTCGAAAGTTTCCGCTAGATCCGAGAGTAAGGTCTCTTGGTTGCGCGTCTTCACAACCAAGTCATCAACATAGGCCTCAACATTGCGTCCTATCTGGCTACCCAAAGAAATTCGAGTAGTACGTTGAGAAGTAGGACTTGCATTCTTTAACCCGAAAGGCATTGTCGTATAACAATAAGTTCCTATGGGGGTAATGAATGCAGTTTTTTCCTCATCCTCCCTAGCCATGCGAATCTGATGATAACCAGAGTATGCATCTAGAAAACACAAAAGGTCGCACCCCGCGGTGGAGTCGACAATCTGATCTATGCGTGGCAGGGGGTAAGGGTCCTTAGGACATGCCTTGTTAAGGTCGGTGTAGTCGATGCACATCCGAAGCTTGCCGTTCGCCTTGGGAACGACGACCGGGTTCGCCAGCCACTCCGGATGGATGACCTCACGGATGAATCCGGCCTCCAGAAGTCGCGCCACCTCCTCGCGGATGAAGGCTTGACGTTCTGGGGCCTGCCGCCGCACTTTCTGCCGGACCGGCCTTGCGCCCGGCCGCACGGCGAGACGGTGCTCAATCACCTCCCTGGGGACCCCGGGCATGTCCGCCGGTCTCCAGGCGAAGACGTCGGCGTTTGCCCGCAGGAAGGAGACGAGCGCGTCTTCCTATTTGTTGTCCAGAAGACCACCGATTCGTGTGGTCTTGGACGGGCCGTCGCCCAGGGCAACCTCCTTGACCGGGACCTCGTCGCACGTGACCATCCGCTGCCTTGGGGCAGCCGGGACGGAGGTGCTGAGCCTCTCGTCGCCACCCACGGGCTTGGACGCCGCGGCGAGGTGGTCCGCGCGCTGCTCCATACAAGCAAGCGCGACTTTGAGGTCGCCATGGACGGTGATGGGGCCACCGGGGCCCGGCATTTTCATCTGGAGATAGGCGTAGTGGACCGCCGCCATGAACTTCACCAACGCGGGCCTCCCAGGACCGCGTTGTAGGGCAGACTGAGGTCCGCCACATCGAAGTCCACCCGCTCCGTGCGGAAGTTGGCGGAACCACCGAAGGTGACCGGGAGGTCGATATGACCCAGCGGCCAGGTGTGCCCCGGCGTCACACCGATGATCGGCTGGGACGGCCGGAGCACCATCCCCGGGGCCTTGATGGCGTCAAAGGCTGCGGGGGAAAGGATGTTGAGGGCTGCACCCCCGTCTATGAGGACACGCTCCAACTTCACATTGCAAACGGTGGGGGAAACCACCATCGCGATCTGTCCTCCCCGGGCAACGCACGGCGGGTGGTCGGTCTGGTCGAAGGTGAGGGCAACCTCCGACCACCGCGCCCGCCGCGTCGCCTCATGGGTAGGGGCCGCGGCCAGAAGCTCTCGCTTCATGGCCTTGAGGCTCCGGCGAGAAGCGTGAGCGCACGCTCCCCCATCGACGGTGGCGACGGAGGCCTCAGGCTCCTGGAACCCCAGGTCATCGTCGCCATCGTCGATGTCCTCGGCAGTGGCCTTCTGCTTGGCCTCACCTCGCCGGTTGCCGGCGGGAGCCGCCGGGGTCTTGCCCTCACGGCGCTCCTGCCTCTTCTCCTCCTCCCACTTCCTCGTCCGCTCAGCCAAACTTTTGACCGCGCGGCAGTCCGCGAGGTCGTGGAGGGAGGTGTTGTGCACGGTACACCACTTGCCGGTCGGGCGCTCCCTGCTGGGAGCGCCGGCCTCCTTCTTTTTGTCGCTCGCAGGCCTCCCCTTTCGGGGGGCCCGCGAAGCGCCCTCGACGGCGAGGACATGACCCTCGTTGTCGGAACGGGCCGACCCCTTCTTCCTCCTCCTGTCCCGCCGCCCTGACCGAGCGGCGGACCCGGGGGCGGCCGGAGCTGCCACACCAGAACCGGAGGAGTTCCAGGTCCAGGCCTCCTCCTTGCGAGCCACACGGTCCGCGAGCTCAAAAAGCTGCGCGGTGGTCTGGGGCTCCTTGGAGGCGATCTTCTCGAGCATGCGGTTGTGCCGCACGCCCCCCCTGAACGCGTAGATCACCGCGTGTGCGGGGATGCACGGTATGGTGTTGCGGACTTGACAGAACCGCTGAATGTACGAGCGAAGAGACTCATCGTCCCTTCGCTGTACCGCATGCAAGTCCGCTTCTTCGCCTGGGCGCGGATATATGCCCTGGAAGTTCGTGGTGAACTGCTGGCACAAATCCTCCCAAGAGTGGACCGACGCGGGTGGCAAGTTCATTAGCCAACCCCGCGCCTGACCCTTCAGGGCCATGGGGAAGAAATTCGCCATGACCCTGTCGTCACCCCCGGCGGCCTCGATCCCGGTCGTGTAGATCTGGAGAAACTCGGCGGGGTTGACGTTTCCGTCGTATTTTTCGGTGATGGTGGGCCGGAACCTTGGGGGCCAACGGACGTTCCGAAGGCTCGCCACAAAGGCTCGACAGCTGGCACCGCCAACCGGGGACATGGGGGGCCGGCCCCCGTGCCCGGACCGAAGTGGCGCTCCAGACGAGGAAGCGCCCTCCGTTGCGTGGGCGGCGCGACGAGCGTCGCGCCGGCGCTCGATATCGAGGCGGGCATCCGGCCCCCCACGCACATCTTCTTGGGTCGGAGGCGTTGACGAGGGAATGGCGGATGAACGGCGGGTAACGGCCGCCGCTCGCCGCGCCCTCCGCCTCGACGACATGGAGCCGGCGGCGGTAGCGCCAGAGGCCTCGGTGGCGGAGGACCGCCCGCCGGCGCCTAGGCGCTGCTGCGCCGTCATGACCAAGTCGGCCACGTCATCCAGCCAACGTCGGGCTGGAGTCTCTGGATCGGGGACGACGGGCGGGTGACGCAGGAGCGCGCCCGCAGCCTGGAGCGCGCCCTGGGGCGTGCCGCCATCGCCGTAGGCGAGGCGGCGACGCGCCCCGTCTCGCCGTCCTCCCCCGTCGCCCGCGGGCGGCGAAGTCGCGGATCGTTCGACCTCCCCGAGCGCCTCCCCCCGCCCAAGATTTCGGCGAGAGGGGGACGGTGGGGTGCGAGCCCGACGGCGCGGATTCTGCTCCCCGTCGTCACCGCTAGCGTTCGGAGAGAGGCTGTGCGCCACTGCCCGTTCGGCCATTGGGCTGAGCGGGAGAAGCTTGGCGCACACGAAAGAGGACGAGGGCTTAGAAAGACACGCGCGCCCCCTACCTGGCGCCCCAGATGACGGAGCGTGGGGCTCCTCACCAGGAGACCGCGCAGGCCCCCCTTTGCTGGTTCGGCCGGGGGCGCTAAGTGAGGTTCTTCGCCCTCGATCTGAGGAACGTCAGCGGGAGAGGAAATGCACAAGACACGAGCGACGTAGACAGGTTCGGGCCGCTGAGAAGCGTAACACCCTACTCCTGTGTTCTGGTGGATCTGTGCGTGAAGGAATACAGAGAGCCGGAGAGCGAGAGAGAGTTCAGGCTCTAGAACCCTTTCCCCAGAGTCCCAACCCCCCTTCCTCCCCTTTTTCCTCCTAGGCCTGGGCCTCCTTTTTATCTGGTCCGGGGTCACCACATGGGCCTCTCGCTGCCTAAGAAGGGAAACATGCTTTTTACAATGAGGGCTCGTCTACAGCCGGAAGTGACCTCTGACAAGCAGAGCACACGCCTCCTGCCCCGCTCGCCCGCTTTCCCGGTGGACGCCCATTTCAACCTTCATTTAATGGCCAGCGACTTCCTTGCCATACTTGCGCTGAAGCCTGGAATGGATCTGACCGGGACTGACATACCAACTCCAGGAGTTAGCACGCCGGCTTCGGCTAGGGACGAGAGCCAGGAAACTCTCATCATTCCGACGGGACGGGGCGAGGCGTGTGACAGGCCGCCTGTTGCCACCTAACCCGCGATCTGACCGGTCTGTGACCGGTCACACACCGCGACCGGTCACGGACCGGATAAGCGTGCGCTGCGCCGCATTAAATGCGGCGTGGCGCACTCGTCCAACCTGCTATAAATGCGGTTAGGTGAGCCCCGCTGTGCTCACCTAACCCACACACGTGGCGCCAAAACCACAGGGGGTCGGGGCGCCCCAGCCCTCGGGGCCGAAACGGGGGCGCCCCAGCCCTCGGGGCCGAAACGGGAGCGGCCCGACCCCTCAGGGAGACAGAGGGAGGGGTGGCCACGTCACCCTCGGGCCCGACCCCCCCCCCCCCCCCCCGAGGGGGTCAGGCCACGTGGGTGACCGCGGCTACCCAAGCCTCTAGTCACGATACCCCCGGCCCCATGTCACCGACAAGCTGAAATCACTTCTTTCTGTCATGTTAGCTTCATCCACCTGGCAAGTTTCTACTTTATGGTTTCAAAATTTAGTTGCTAACAACTGACCATTATCAATTATCTTCTGTCAGTTCTGCTCAACATACTTTTTCATAGATGAAGTGCTGATTCAGATGTCATTTACTCCTTTCAGCCTCTTATATCTGGTTCAGCAGTAGGTTTGGAAGGACAGGTACTGCTGTTTTTAGTAACACGACGACTTTGACTTATCTGTTCATTTTAGTGACACTCATCTGAACTTTCTCTAACAGCTGACTGTTTATCATCACAACGGAAGTCCATGCTACCGGTGTCTTTATCCAAACCCACCATCGTCGCCAACATCGCAGAGTTGTTCCGATAATGGTATTCTTGGAATTCGTAAGTAATTATCTTCTCTACGTAGCAAAAAAACACCCTATGAAAAGGCATGTGGATCAAATTGTGAGAAATTTCTGCATCTCAATTCTAATTGTACCAACATGAAGAAAATTTCGGATGGAGATTCTCGAATAGAATTCAATAATTGAGGGTTCTTTTATCTTGTGTTGGTGTCTTTTAGTTTATGTTTTCTTTACATTATGTCAGTGTGTGCTGAGTTTGTTCGTGTGTGGACTTTGTAATAATTGGTTGTATCTCGTTGAGCAAAAGCCGGAATGTTATTTCATTATCTTAAAAAAAATGAAGAAAATTACCAACTACAGTAGAATAAGTAGAGGAATTCCATAGGTATAGGTATATTATCTTCATAGGTACATGTAAATGTACTTGTCGTGGATGTAGAGGCCGGTTTTCTAATATCCCATCCATATTGTCTATATGAATGATCCAATGTCTACATTTTTGTTTGTTAGTTCCAGGAGTAATCGGCTGCCTTCAAGCATTAGAGGCTATAAAGGTTGCAACTGCTGTTGGTAAACCTCTCTGTGGAAGAATGCTACACTTCGATGCACTGTCCTCTCATACCAGGATCGTAAGTCAGTTCATTATGTCCATCGACTCAATTTCCTAAACAGCAACCATCAGAATCCTCTGTTTCAATCTCCCTGAAAGGCCATAAACGGTTACACAAACTCCTGCAGGTCAAGATCAGTAGGAGTTCACCAACTTGCAAGGTCTGTGGAGAAAATCCTGTTTTCACCAAAGAGGACTTCGTGAACTTTGATTACGAGAGCTTCACACAATCTCCAATGTCCAAAAATGTATGGATCGCTCTTTTTGTTGGGTTCTTAGATTGTATCATCGGATATCTGTGCATGGCAATATGACATCAATAAATAGTGCAAACTTCATATGTAGTGTAAATCTAAAAACTATCGTAGGATACGCAAATGGATGGCGTGAACAAATCTTAGACGTCCATTTATATATCATGTGGTAGTTTTCAGGTTTGCACTACACACGAAGTTTGCACAATTGCACTGTGTATTTTCCCTGGCATCACTCCTAATCACTCTCTGTTTGAACTGATGATGATTGCAGTCGACGACGCGGAGCCTGAATCTTCTCCCGGAGAACGCCCGGGTGAGCTGCAGAGACTACAAGAAGGTGCTCGACAGCGGCAGGCCGCACCTGCTGGTGGACGTGCGGCCGTCGCACCATTTTCAGATAGCGTCCATGGCTCACTCCATCAACGTCCCGCTCTCGCTGCTGGAGGAGAAGCTGCCACTGCTGCGGGACTCGGCGAGGGAAGTGTCGTCGCGGCGCGACGGGCGGCAGCACTGCCCTGTGTACGTCATCTGCCGGCGAGGCAATGACTCCCAGGTCGCCGTGCAGATCCTCCGCGAGAATGGGTTCCTGTATGCGAGCGACGTCGCCGGTGGGTTTGAGTCCTGGGCCAAGGAAGTCGACCCCAGCTTCCTTCTCTACTAGCCAGATGCTTTACATAGTTGATAGTTGCAACTTGCAAGTAACTTGTACTAGAGATTAGAGAAAAGGACATATGTAGTTGCCTTGAAGGTTCAAACATGAGTCAGGTGCCTAATGTTAAATGTAATCCATTTCCAGTGTATAAAAGAAAAAAAAATGAAGGCTCAAATAGATGTGATTGATAATATGATTGTATTTACCACTCCTCTTAATAAAAAAATGTGCGTCTCGCGTATTCCAAAAAAAAAAGATAATATGATTGTATTTAGATCATGAGAAATTCACATGAGTCTGTCAGACATTGAAATGGGGTGTAAAATTTTTGTTCCTGGAGATCAAGTTCAAACAAATGAGATACCATAACCAGGTCAAGGTTTACCTTTGATATCTGCCTCATTGGTCGTGTGTTAGAGGCGTACTCATATATATACTCTCTCGGTCTCTCCAAGTTAACAATAATTGTCGTTTTAAATTAAACAGATGTTAAACTTTTAAATATTTTGACTACAAATAACTTTTAAAATATTTACTTTTAGCAACATGGAAACAATATGTATAGATTAATTTTAAAAAGTATTTCAATAAAATCATATATTGTTGATAGTTCTACATACTACTGTAAGTACAAAATAGTGGTAAAAGTTGTGTTTATAAGAACATATTCTTATCTAAAACGATAAAAAAAATTAACCTGAAAGGAGTACAAGCATGTGGGATGTGTGTTTAGTAACTAATTTATCAAGCAAAACAATATGATCTATAGGTGGGCAAAGTGAGTATAGCTCAACCAATTAGCTAGGTTCCTTGCGGTAAAACCACTCCACTGGGTTCAAGTGCTAGACTTGAAATGGATGCTCACATATACGGTTAATTATTCTTTCACTGTTAGGTGACGCACTCATCGATAGCGAGGCGCCTGTGGTGACTCCATCAATCCTAATATGTGTGAGTGTGTGCGTTCACAGGGACGAGTGCACGCGCATTGTGAGCACCTATGTTTGTACTGTGTTTCTCAAAAAATACGCAACTGGTAGAGGATTGACACTAGACCGAGTAGCACGAGGGTTGGGCTTCGACACCGTTTTATCTGGTGTTGAGACTTTCAACCTCGGCAACCAACGAGGCAATGACTCTAAGATCAAGTTTAATAGTATAGCCAACTACTAGTTCTAATTCATCTATAGCCAATCTAATAGCTCATCCATACAATAGTTACATACTACACTATTAATACCTGGTCCCACTTGTCATACACACAGTACGTCTTGGAATCCGTGCTACAGCTGGCTACAAATATGTAGCCCTATGCTCTTCTCTCTCCTTATTTATCTCTTTAAAATATGTTTGTAGCTGGCTTATAGCCTGTTATTGCACCTGCTCTAATGTTGAGTTAGGGTCTACTCCCTCCATCTCGATTTACCTCTCGCTGGGGTTAAAGCCATTGTCCTAGAAAGGAGGTCGTTTAGGGCTGGGTAGCTATAGGTGAGCCACTAGAATGAGTATTTCTATTAATTTTTTTTCTCCATGTTTGTTGCAGGCTTATCAGAATGACAGATGCCGTACTAGTTTTGTATCAATTTTTAAGCACGGTAATGATTAACATAGGGGCACATTAGTCATTTTTACAATACCATTTTTTATCACTCCTGTACCAGAATGACTACTAAACTGGACAGAGGGAGTATATCTGTAATAAGTTTTCTAGACGATATATTTCTAAAACATTTTTTAAAAATGGCTAAAGTCTAAAAAAGAAATCCATGATATTGGAACCATGCCATTATAATTTTGCAAAGTTTGAGATATACCATCGGTATCTCAATGACATGTAGTATCCACATGAGTCAATGACATGTGGATCAGGATGTCATATCTTAAATTTTACAAAATTATAATGGCATAGTTCCAATTTTCCCAACAAAGAATCTATGGATGCTACGACACTGACAGTTGGGGCCCAATCTCTGCTCACACATCGTCCCCTCTCCCCATCCCAAACCGCAGCTCTGTCTTCCCCAAACGACGCGGACCGTATAAAACTCCGCCGCGACGCCGAGCACGCGCGCCGGCTCTAGAAGCTTCTAGAAGGCGCAGCTGCAGCGCTGGCTAATGGCGTTCGCGACCTCCACGCTCCCATTCGCGCCATCCAACCCCTCGCCGTCCTCCCGCTCCGCCGCAGCGGCTTTCTCTCCCCGCGGCGGGGTCCACTTCGCCGCCGCTAGGAGCGGCCTCCCGCTCGCGTGCGCCGCGCCGAGGCACCGAGGGAGGCCTCCTCCGAGGAGGCGCCGCGGAGGGTGCCTGGTGGTGTGGGCGTCCGCCGACTACTACGCCACGCTCGGCGTGCCGCGCTCCGCGAGCAACAAGGACATCAAGGCCGCCTACCGGAAGCTTGCGCGCCAGGTGCTCGACGCTTGTCCCCTCCCGCACCAAGCTTCAATTTTACTCGTCTTTATAGGAGTACTGTAGTTTTTGGATTGCTTTCTTTATGGACGATGTCGTACGGTTGAGAGTACACAATCACCAATACTGGAATTCGTTGGATACTTGGATCACACAACTGAAATTATTCTGTTTCTGATAGTGTATGCGATAGTTGCCGTATTACGGTATTAGATCAGCTCTGTGCACATCTGAGAAGGCCTCATTTTGTTCGCTATTGACTTCTTTTGTTTGGATAAAGTATGACATTTAGCCATGACTTTTAGAAGAACTTTCTGTGATATTATCAAATGATGCCCTCATCACAGTGTTCCGGTTCTCCTTTTAGGGTTAGGACACCTTTGTCACTGGTTCTAGCAGTATTGACGCTGACACCTTCAACTCTGAAAATCCCAATGCCATCCTCAGTGGATGAATGGCATGAGCGTGCCATGCTGGAGCAACCAACATTGGTGCCAGTTGCTGCAACACTGGTCAGCAGGATTCTGGAATCTGGACCATGTACTATGTTGCTCTGCCATCTAGGACAAAGCCTAGACATCTGATCCGAAATTCGTGCATTCAATCATGTGCTTTTGCTAGTTTGTAACCATCGGAGCGTATAGCTGGGTTTGGAGCAAAAAAGGCAAACTGGAATAATATAATTGCAAACAAAGTAAGACCTCTGAAGGTTCCCTTTGTTTCTGTCACCTGCTTTGGGCTGAACTAGGGAACTGTCATAACCTTAGAAGCCTACATACAAAAAGCAGGCTTTTGAACCTACGAGAGGGTCTTATTTGGAGCTTAGCTAATGCTTCAAATACCCTTCAGACCAAGTCCTCGAGGTTTTACTGAGCTGATTTTCATGGCTACTAATTTACTATGGGATTTATATACTTTACCAAGTGGCATGTTTTTACTCTTAACATCAAGCTGCTAAGATTCACACAACATGCACACTTCTATTTTAATAGATAAGAGTTATTGATAACATCTTCGCTTTTGTTTTTAGTACCATCCTGATGTCAATAAGGAACCTGGAGCAACCGATAAGTTCAAAGAGATAAGTGCAGCATATGAGGTATCCAATTCAGCATAATTTGTTAATTCATGTATTTGTCTGCTTTTTTACTTGTATTTAATATTGCTGATAAGTTATAGACTTTTACTATTGACATGTGGATTTTTTTTTTTGCTGTAATAGTTTACAACGTCACTGCTTCTGGTTTCTCTGTTTTGTGTTTCATTTCCCTCTTTATAAGTGCTTAATTTCATTGTCATCAGGTGCTATCAGATGAAAAGAAGAGGGCGCTGTATGATCAATATGGTGAAGCTGGGGTTAGGAGTGCGGTTGGAGGCTCAGCTGGAGCTTACACAGTATGACAGCTTTGCTTTTCAACTTAATTTTTTCTATCAGCACTTACTCCCTCCATCCCAAAATATAAGGGATAATGCCCTTTTCATTTGTCCCAAAATATAAAAGATATTAAATGTAGCACAATAGCTTTTGTACTAGTTATTCTCCACCTAGCACCTTTTGTACTAGTTTATTCCCCACCTGTCAACTTTTGTACTAGTTTATTCCTTAACTACTAACTTTCGTATCACTTTTTTATGGATTTGACGGATGTATTTGCCCTTTTGCTACTTCCTTATTTTTTGTGAAAAAAATGGCATAATCCCTTATATTGTGGGATAGAGGCCGTACAAGGCAATATATTGAGTGTGATTATATAATTATATGTGTACTAGCTAAAATTCTTTGGCTAATAAGGATACTAGATTTTGCTTATTGACTAGTATTGTTTACCCTTTTCGCTCACAGATGGCTTCAGTTCTTTACCTGTTATTTTCTATATGCAGAGTAATCCTTTTGATCTATTTGAGACATTCTTTGGAGCAAGCATGGGTGGCTTTTCTGGTATGGACCAGGGAACATTTAGGACACGCAGGAGGAGCACTGCTGTTCAGGGGGAAGACATCAGGTTCTGTTGCCAGATATTCATGGTCAATGTGTTTATCTAGTTGAAATGATCAGCTAAAGCTGTTTAAATAGCATATGAATAGCAGCACTAATTATTGTAGTTGTTACAAACTTTAAAACCAATTTGGTATGTATGCCTCGGAGATCTAGCATTATTTGCATACATCTCAATCTAGATAAGGTATTCATACAACTTTAATGCTATTTTCTACCTTTCCCATCGTTTATCTTCCCTCTGTTGCCAGTATTTACGAGTGAGCACCCACACTAGCTATTCCCTTCTTAACACCCACATTAGCTATTCCCACATTGTTCCAAAGACATGGCACTAGGATATCATGGTTGTTTGCCACTACCATTATCTTGGTCTTATAACTCCCCTTATGCCCATGCTTGGTCAAAATACAGCTTACAGAAATAGCATGTTTGGGCAACAATGTTGATTCATTCTCTGTGCCAAATGTTTCTTTTTTGGTTCCTGTTTGTGTTTTGCCTTTTCGCAAAAGCTACTAATACCTAAGTTCAAACATTTCTGATATTGGTATTTTTTTTTTCTTGTGATCTTTTTTTTTTTCTGCAAACAAACCAGGGATACCAGACCAGCAGATTCTTATACAAAATTGTTCTTGCTAAAATTCTCTTATCATTTTGTGATAAAAACTAGTGTACTTTATAGACTGACATGAACTTATACCATCAGATATGATGTGAATCTGGGGTTCTCAGAGGCAATATTTGGAACAGAAAAGGATATTATATTATCTCATTTGGAGACATGCGATGCATGTGCTGGTTCTGGATCAAAGATTGGGTCGAAAATGAGAATATGCTCCACATGTGGTGGTCGAGGGCAAGTAATGAGAACTGAGCAGACACCATTTGGTCTGTTCTCCCAGGTAATAGCATTCATAATATTATTCCAGTGCTTTACCATGAAAACATCTGGCGATAATGTGACAGCTTTTGTCAGGTGCCATATGTGAAAATGAACATTAAACAGAACAGTAGAAGATCAGAATCAATACTATAAACAAGATCTCATGGAACTACAAAATATATTTTCAAGATATACTAGGATGTGAACAGTTTTTTGTTAGACAAATATAATGGTGTAAAATATACATAAGTGGCAAACATATAGATCAATGAGAAGGGAAAAGGGGTTAAATCTATTCCTAGCTTCATCATTGCTTAGTAAGAATATTAGCTGTATTAACTTGGTTGTTTTCTCACTACTGATTCTTTATTATTATTAATTTATAATGGATAAATTAAAACAGATCAAAACAACTGAAGAAGAAAATATTTACTAATTTTTCTATCATTGAAAAGATATAGGTAACCGAAATACGTATTCAAGCACAGTAGAATATACAGGCTTTGCTTTTTACAAGATTGTTGAAGACTCGATACGTAACCGAAATATAAATATTTATAGCATTAGGGTGGCCTGTGTATCTAATTATCTATGCAAACGTTTTAGTTCATTTGATACTTATTACATATGTGATTAACTTCTAATATTTCTTGTTTTGTAGGTTTCAATTTGCCCCACCTGTGCAGGAGAGGGTGAAGTCATTTCAGAGTATTGCAAGAAATGTGCTGGAGAGGGGCGTGTTCGTGTTAGAAAGGAGATCAAAGTAAAAATTCCTCCAGGTGTTAGCAAAGGTAGTACTCTTCGTGTACGTGGTGAAGGTGATGCGGGACCAAAAGGGTGAGTGATTCGTTTGTTATTTATCTTGTCTATACTTCATACTTGAATATGTTAAGGCACTCACCAGTGAAAATTGTGGTTTGTGGATATTGGTCCTAGAGGCAAATAAATAGATCATTGGCATCCTCATAGTATTTTCTGGTGCTTTAGCTTCTGCATGCACATGCGCTCTTGCTTTTGCCTTCATCCTCTTTATTGTCTTATTTTACTACACCACCCTCCTCTGTCTGCCTTCTATATACTTTTTGTGTGCATGCACAAATAATCCATGTGTAAATGCTATTAAAAAAAATGCCTAAACCCTTTTTGCATTTGGAAAGCAGAGGACCTCCTGGAGATCTTTTTGTTTGCCTTGATATAGAGGAGCCAGCAGATATTAAAAGGGATGGTATCAACTTGTATTCAACTGTTTCAGTAAGCTACATTGAAGCTATTCTGGGCACTGTTAAAAAGGTAAAATTTTTCTTGTTATGATTCAAAATTGTGATATTTAGTTTGGGTTGAAGCCCATTGCCATTCTTCATTAATGAGAGTACAACTAATAGGAAATGAATGCCTGAACCATCTCACTTTTTAGTAACGGAGAATACTAACATGCAAAAACTGAGTTTTGTGTTCTGAGTTCTGACCACATTGGTTGTGTATAGGATGTTTGGTATATATTGTTGATTGACTCTATTGGTCTGCCTGAGCGTTTTTTATATACTCTGTTTTCTTGTGATAAGAAAACACCTACCTTTATGCACAATGATTAGCAAACCAAACAGGCAGTATTTTAAGTCATATTCCTAGAGGTACACCAACTTGATCTTAATCTGCTGTTACCTTTTTTGTTAAGATAAATTTGATTACACGATAATCAGATCATTTTGTTGATTTGACCTAATCCAAAACCATAGGATGTAATGTGCCTGACTTCTAATTGAGGCCAGCATTTCATTGGGATTAAATTTATATCAGCTTATTGTTAATCATTTTAGCTCAGACTAATTAACCAATGCTGCAGCTATGTTATCCTAGGTCTGATCAAATTTGTTTATCTGAGACTGATTTGAGTTTTGAACCTTTTCTAACAACCATGGCAGTTCAGATCAAAGTTAATTATTTGTACATATTTATTTTAGATTTGAGAGAAAGCATGTCCTTGTAATGATTCTTGTGGTCTATAGTCTACTGGCATTTCTGTCTTATGCTCATATTCTTCTTCCAAGCAGGTCAGAACTGTTGATGGAAATAGTGAACTTAGAATACCTCCAGGTACCCAACCTGGTGATGTAGTGGTTCTAGCAAAGCAAGGTGTTCCATCATTGAATAAACCATCTGTTCGTGGTGATCATCTATTCACTATTAAGGTCACTATACCCAAACGTATAAGGTTATATGCTTCCTGACTTGAACCTACTTTCGAATACATACTGTTGGTCTAAATCTACATAATCACTGAGCCCATATCTCTGTGAATTTGTGTTCCTTCCAGCGGACGAGAAAAGGAGCTACTTGAGGAACTGGCTTCTTTGAGCAATGGTGGTTTTGCTGGTGCACCTGTGAAGCCAAAATGTAAGCAAGCTTAGCTATATCCCCCACCCTCCCCTCTTCCCTCCCTCCCTCTCCAGCAAAGAATTCATTCTCATATTCTAACGTTACTATCGAAGTTTGATGAATTTTTTATTTTTAGGAACTAGCCTTGGAAGGTACTAACGATTTGCATTTGCATTGCAGCCATACGCCAAGAGAATGAAACTACTGTTGCCCAAGAAAATTCGGATCAACCTGATGAAGGGGAGGGTGACTGGTTGAAGAAACTTCAAGATTTTGCAGGGTAAATATTAGCTGTTTCTTATTACAATGCAATTGAGTTCTGGGAGGGTTTACCTCATACATTCATGCATCATATTGCAAATTTTGGGAACTTGATCATTTGTAAAAAAAATGCAAGGAAGTATAGGTTATAGTGAGAAAGAAAGAGAGCTGTATATTACACTTAAAAAAGTTAGTGTTATAACCAACCTTTATACATTTTCATTGATCTTCTACATGTTTTTCTAAAGATAAGTTACTGAGATAGTGAATCCACATCAGCAAAATGTTTTTGTTACACTGAACATATAGTTAATACTTTTCCTCTTTTGCTGTTTGGGGCAGCTGAAGTTTTTGAAAATATGCTCTTTCAGTAATGATCCATAATGAGGTAAAACTGTTGTTACAGGACCTCCTTTACAGCAGGTTGTAGCCTGTCTAACTCTGTTGGTTGCATTCATTTTTACTTCTAATATTGATTAGTGCAACCCTTGTTCCAAAAATGAATAGAAGGAAAAATGCTAACTGACGGTCTCAATATACATACTTGCTTCTATTGAAGTTTGAAAATACAAATTGTGGATTTCTTTGTTTCTCTATCCTATGCAATTCTGCATTCTTTTGTTGATCATGTTGCTTACTGAATTCTTTCAGATCCATTGCTAATGGTGCTGCCAAGTGGCTAAAAGACAACCTTTAGCCTGTAAATAGTTACCGCGGAATGCATTTATATTAATCGCTGTTATGGTGTAGTCCAATCTGCTATTCTTCAATTCATTGGATCCCACGAGCTGTTGCATTTGTTTTGGAGAGGCTCAAAGTTCTCAGGCTGTGAAGTGGCAACGAAGAGGCTGAATCTGTTAATTAATTCCATCGGCAACGTTCTTATTTTGGTATGCTTGTAAAGTGGCATGATTTTTTATGTAGTTGCAGTTATCATTCCCTAGAGCATGTGATGGTTTTACGTCACTTGCTGCTGATACTGAATTCAGTAAAGATAATGCACTGTAAATATATATTTCATGCAGTAGAGCATCTTGAAATCTCAGGTATGTACTCTGTGGGTAAGCAACCGTGAGGTGTGTCGTTCTGAACTAGAGATATTTAAATCCAGAACAAGAGCACCCATATTCAGAAGGTTGTGTTGAGACTTGATCACCAGCTTGATCCATAACAAGAGCACTCAAAACAGAGGAACCTGGATGTACCATGTTACATGTACCACCCAAGAACTAGAGAGAAAAAACCGTGACATGTAGTATCACACTTGAATTTAGTTCAAGCATAATCTGTAAACAAAGTTTGAAATTCGAGGGCAGCCTATGATTCTGAGAAGAACTAGTTTCGATTAATTCCATACAAGAGTACTCAAGGCCCAGCCGCCGAGGCTTCAAATTCCATCATACAAGAAAATTCATCATCATCTGGAAAGTTGTAAGCTAGTCAGTCATCTCTCGAGCTGACTTTGAGCAAGAGGAGGACAGCAACAGCCACAGGAATGGACACCATTAACAAGGCTACCACGATGTTCGGCCTTGTGATGTCAGGTAACAGGATGCTCCCGTACTTGATAGCCGCTGCGCCGCCAACCGATCCAAGGCCCAATTTCCAAAGGTAGCTCGAGTCATCCTATGATGCAACACACCCAAAAGACGAATGGTTTGATTCAGCGTAGGAGAACTATGAAGAGATTTTTTGGTGGAAAACATAAAAGACTCGCAGATTAGTCTGTAAGTAAAATATAGCCATTTGAAAAAAAAAATCCCTTTGTGTTCTTTTTGCAAAACAACACACGGGTGAAGCTGTGAACGGCTATGGCAATTGTTCGCGGTGGATTAGATGCCTCCTGGAGGCCAAACTGAGAAATGAAGAAATATTTGTCCCAATGGGCTATCTATCTATCTATCTATCTATCTATCTATCTATCTATCTATCTATCTATCTATCTATAACTGAGAAAAGGTGAGGAATGGTGGAGAGCGTGTGCGAGCAGTCTATCTATGTATCAGTATCGCTGACCTCGATTCGCCCCGAGTCCGCCTCCGCGTCGACGTCGGCGGATTTACCGGAGAAGCGAGCGGCCACGCCACGGCGGCGGCGCTCGCGCCACTGCTGCTGGAAGCTGCGGCGTGGCGGCGGGTTTGAGTTGGTCTTGCCGGTTAGGGACGGGGCGGCCACCGAGAGCGCGCAGGCAATCGCCATCGACCGCCGCTCTCCCGCGCAGCTCAACCAACCACCGAGAGCTCGCGTTCTGTGCACGTTATCCAGAACCGAGCGAACGCATATGCGTCTCTAGTCCTTACCACTACCAACGAGATGTGCTGGAATTTGTACACCATTTCGTCAAATCAAACCGTGCATTTTTTTTTTGCCAAAACCCATGTAAAATTTTAAGCAACAAACATACAATACTGGATCCTTCAAAAGTAGGACATAGATTTGCACAGCATTTGTCAAAACTCAGAATTGCTAGAAGGTTACAGAACATGAACGGCTCTATGGTGTAGAGAGAGAGAGCGCATTCACCCAACTCTTCAACTGAACCTTTCTCGTACTACTAATAATGAGCTACTAGTATGACAAACGGCAAAATGGTGCACAGGCATTCCAAGAATCATTTGAAACTAGAAGTAGCTTTTCCGCTTCCGCCCTGTGTATTTGGTGTCCGCGGGCACCTCCCGTCCTCGCCTTCTCAGCTGCTCCTTTTTGTTCAAGAGCCAAGCCTTGCCCTTGCCGTTCTTCTTCGTCTTCTGCCTCTTCTTTGGCCTATTTCTTTCATATATGCCGACCTGCATACCAAAAATATAAGCATTCATCTAAGCCGGTCGAACATCAAAAGGGAGGGAAAAAAACCCCAATATTAGGTCCTATAAAATAGAGTAAGAACCAAGTATGAAATAGATGATCCTTGAGTCCTTGACTAAGCACAACCATTTAGCTAGTACCTCCTCCAAGACAACAGCATTTCTATAACTACTGAACATCTAAGGTAAAACTGAATAATAAGTTAGTAAAACACCACAGGAACAATGCAACTTGCAAGCAGAGATTGGTAGAAAGATTTTGTACACACACACACACACACACAAAAAGCAACGGTATCACAACTTATGTGATGTAAAGGCGACAATATAACAATATCAAGGGGAAGCTCTGGACAAAGAATGCAATATACTGCCATCCGTTGAAGCAGTAAGTAGTTCCCTTGAAACATGAAACATAGCACAATGCAATGCATGAACAAGCTTGTAAAGCATGGGCTTACTGTTTGGGCTCCATCTTCATCACCACTTCCATCATCGCTCTCATCATCATCACTACACATGGCACCATCTTGACCTTTACCCTTCGGAAGCGATGAATTTAGAGAAGGTGGTCCACAAGTGAGGACAAGGTAGGATTTCTTTGCTTTTGAACTGTAAGAAAGAAGGCATGCCCATAATTGTATATCAGTAACGAAATTCGTAGCATTGTTCGTACGCTAATATGGCATTGTTGTGAGGTAATAAAATACTAACCTGTGAGGCCAGTCAACAACCACTCCACCTGCAAATCCAGCACGCATGGCAGCAGTCACGATCATTTCACTCTGCTTCACATTATCAGCATAAAATTGCAAAACGGCTCTTGCTCCCCTTGCTAGGCATCTATATAATGATCCAAAGAAAGCCCTGAAAATTATGCACATATGAAAGTTATGAACTGGTTGCAAGCAACCTAAGAGGCTAAGAGAAACAATAAATACACACTTTAACCGCAATCTTGGGTTGTGACAAGACTTGTCAGCATTGCATAACCACTGCACAAACAAAACACACAGTTGAGAGGACAAATTAAAAGTGCAGATTTGAGATCAACATGGTCAGTTTGTTGCAGTAACATAACAGCTCAAACATTACCTGAACTGCTGAAATACTGATTGCTCCATCAATAACTCCAGGCCGCAAGCCTAAACCCTGGAACAGGATTGAATATAAATAAATACACATGCAGCACCTTAAAGCTAGACAAGTTGTGGTGAAGCAACTGTGAAGAAGTTGCTGTATTTGTGTTAACCAAAGGATGGTGAGATTGTGCAGAAAATATTATTCGCCAGGCCATGTGCAGAGAAAAAAAATATAGCCATTCAGAAATCATAGTACTATCGGAGAAGCCAACTGTTTGGGTTAATTCTCTCTTGTTCTCTCCAGAAAGGTTTGAATTCCTAGACTCATAGTTACTTTCAGAGTAGAAATTATTTTGAGAACAATCATGGATTCACGGTCAATAGCAAAAGTAATGAAAAATATTAGTGTTATTAAGGGAGTATGTCCCTGCCACTTATGATTTATTAAGTAGAGCAAGTGTGATACTAGAAATAAACAAGACAAGCATTTCCCTTACGGTTAAGAGTATTGGCATACACCACAGCATAAACATAACATATGAGATTGAAATTTCTTGAACCATACATTAATAAGATGCATATTATACCTGGCCCATATCTGCAAGAAGGAGATCACCCTCCGCTTCACGCTCCAGAGCAACATCTACAGAAAGAAATTTAAAGCACTCAGCCAAAAAAAAAATCCAACAAGCAATAAGCCAAGATTTCCTTAAGAGCAAGTAACAAAGCGAGGTGCTCACCAAGCATGGACTTCGAAATATCATAACCAATCCAGTGATGGCCCTGCTCTGTCAATGTCTCGCCACTAAGTCCAGAACCGCACCCTGCAATTCAAAACATAGTACAAACTAAGCAAAGTAATTGTACCAAAAACAACTTTTTTTAATCAAATCAACACATCGTTTGAGCAGGAAGAGAGTAAAAGCATTACCGATGTCGAGAAGCAACTTGGGGACGCCATCGTTGGGTAGCGCAAGCAACTCGAGCGCCCTCTCGGTAATCCTCGACTGCAACATAACTAAACATGAGACCAAGAATTCCTCCACACCCAGCACCGCGAACTGGCAAGAAGCTCACCTGGATTTCGATGATGCGAGAGGAGGTGGTGTACTTGCGGGCCTCCGACTCGTTGTAGAATATCTCCGGCGGCGCCTGCACCTCCGGCCGCGGCATCCTCTCTCCCCGCTGCCTCCTCCTCGGCTTCTCCCCTCTCCTCTCCTCGCCGCCGCCGCAGAGGTCAGTGGTGTGCTCGCGCCGCGACTCCCCGAGGGTTCCCACTACACTACGCCTTTCTACTGGGCTCTTCATGGGCCTCCGGTGTAGCGAGACACGTGAAATGGGCCGAGAATCCCAAAGGCCCAAAACAATATCCCGGCCCAGCAACGGATCTCCTATAAATTCTCCCACGCATCTAGGGCTTCGTCTCATCACACCAGCCGCCGCTGCCGCCTCGTCGTCCCAAATCGTCCGAGCGCCGCCGCCGCCGCCGCCGCCATGGGTAACCATCTCCTCCGAGTCCTCTCTTTCCCTCGTGATTCCTTGCTTCTGTAGCTCTCTAGGCCGTGCGATTTGGTGGGTGATTGATGTGCTTTGCCCGCCTCGATCGCAGGTAAGGTTCACGGCTCGCTGGCTCGCGCCGGGAAGGTGAGGGGGCAGACGCCGAAGGTGGCGAAGCAGGACAAGAAGAAGAAGCCCCGGGGCCGCGCCCACAAGCGGATGCAGTACAACCGCCGTTTCGTCACCGCCGTCGTCGGCTTCGGCAAGAAGCGCGGGCCAAACTCCTCCGAGAAGTAGATCTAGAGATCGCTCCTTTGCCCCCGTCTCATTAATTAATACTCATGGATCCCTTTTTTTGTTTGTTCCCTAGTAGTTTTTTGTTCAAGTATGCAATTTTTGGTATTGAACTGATGTCACTGTAATACCTATGATATCTCTATGGATGGTGTTAAGATCTTATCGTCAAGTGTTCATCTTTTACTTGTTACACGATGTGGTTTGTCTGATATAGATTGATTGTTGTGATGCTTATCAGCTTATGGTGTTATATGCAGTTGTTCAATGACCGTAATTTCATTATATGCTCATCTTTATGCTTAACTTTTTTCAGATAATGTGTTTCTTACTAGAGCATGTATAGTCCTAGCATATATATGTAACTGCTGCGTGGAAATCACAAATGCATAATGGTGTAATCCAACTGAATTTTTGGAGACTATAATTAGGATTTAGCTTCACTTCTAGTGGTTCATGATCGATTGTCTAGTAATTTTGCAGTGCTGCTCATGAGTATGTTTTTGTGTCTGTTTATATCCTAGACAGATCATTTTTCTTTTGTTAGTAAAGTAGATTTTTGTCTATCGAAGTGTGGTGTCAAGAACAGCATGTTAGTCTTGGACTCTTGGTTAAAGCCTAAGAAGCATCTGTGTGAGTTCGTTAGTATGACTGTATCTACTTGATGGATCAACATAGTATGCCATGAAACAGCAGCATTGGCATGTTTATCCTTGTTAACAGTAGTAGAGAGGTGTATAGATTGTTATCTATAGTTTCTTTCTTCTGCAAGTCTGCGGGGTTTAGTGCTGAAACCAGTACATTATGGTTGCTGTGATTGCTATTGGAAGTGAGTTTGCTAATCAATATTTTTTACTGTTCTCAAAATCTCAACTGTTTGATACTATAATAATGTCTGGATGGAATTCTGTGCTAGTTTAAAGAGACTGGATTTTTTGAATTCTCAAATAGTGCTATGCATCGGTGTGATATGTGATGTTAACTTTTTTATAATTTGGATGGAGTGTTAAAAGCTTTTGATAGTGTTTTGTTCGTCTTGATCAGGCCATGATGTGCGTGATAGCTTTGTTTTTATAATATCCAAGATAGATCATTTGATTGCCAGTGTGCTGTCTATATTTTTTTCTAGTAAAGTTCTTATGCAAGCGCAAGAGCATTCTGTTTAGACTTTAGACCAGACGGCTAGCGGCATTAAACCTATGAAAGCATATGTGGATTTGTTAGTATCCAGTATCCACCCGGTTGCTGTATGGATCATCATCAATCATGCTTTAAGTACAGAAGAATAAGCCACAGGTTTGTTATCAGTCTGTCACTATGGTTCCTGCGATTGGTTACAGGACAAGGGATGTGGTAGTTTCCTTGGCTTGCTGATATTTGCTTATTAATGTTTTCTTTCTGTTCTAGAAATTCTGGAGGAAAATCTTGAGTATATACATCTAACTATAATCTATGGAATTTAGTGGCAATCGAACGGACGGGGGCGTCCGCCATCCTATGATCTCAAGGTAAGCATCAGCGAAATCTGAATACTAATTCGTCTTGATCAGGCGAGGCTGTTGTTGCCAGTAGCTTTGTTCAAGTCGGAGCCTACGCATTCTTTCATGTCCTGCCAGTAGCTTACCCTGCGTGCACGCACTGTCGCGATGACGCGCAACGAACTGCATGGTTAATGAAATTCCGATATTCGAACAAAAATCGGGCCATTATGAAACACGACGTGAAAAAATCCGGCGGCGCCACGGCGGTGCGGCGCGTCATGGCGGAAATCCTGTTGGGCGATCGATCGCCCTGGGGATGGGGTGGCGATCACCTCCCTCCACCTGGTTTTCTTTTTTGGTACCGCATTACTTTCCTATTTTAGTAAATTTATACACCTAAAGTTTATATACCTCAAGTTTACACATCTAAAGTTTAGAGACCAAAAGTTTATAAGTCAAAAAATTTATATATCCGATTCAAATTTGAATTTAAATTCAAATATTTTTTTATATATATATTATTTCTATATATCTAAAGTTTATAGACCAAAAGATTATAAGTCAAAAAGTTTATATATCCGTTTCAAATTTGAATTTGAATTATATCTGATTCAAATTTAAATTTGAATTCAAATATTTTCTATATATAGTATTTCTATACATCTAATGTTTATACACCCAAAGTTTATAAGTCAAAAGTTTACATACCCGATTCAAATTTGAATTTAAATTCAAATATCCGATTCAAATTTGAATTTGAATTCAAATATTTTTCATATATAGTATTTCTATACATCTAAAGTTTATACACCTAAAGTTTATATACCCAAAGTTTGTAAGTCAAAAGTTTACATACCCGATTCAAATTTAAATTTGAATTCAAATTTTTTATATATAGTATTTCTTTACATAAATTTTTCTAACTTTTATTTTTTTAAAAAAATATTGTGGCTTACTGTAGTAGGGAAGAGAAGGGGAGGAGAGGGACGTACTTATAGGGGAGCGGGTGCGGGTGATCGCGCGCATTAGCAGTCCCTGTGGGCGGCGAGAGGGAGGCGTTCGCGGGCAACGCTAGCAACAGCAAGGATGTCGTTGGAGACCAGGAACGGGAGGAGCAGTACATCGACGAGCTTGTTGGTTATCTCATACGCTACACCTGATCAGCAAACAAAAAATAATTATAACGAAAACGTATAGTTTAATATACTTAACGATTTAAAAACTAGCAATTTTAAAAAAATAAATTACTACTTTCTAGGTTCTAAAATGTTGCTATCTAAGACGGAATGTGACCTATTATTGGACAACGAGTCTGTACAGATCTTTGCCCAATTTCATCGTGTTAGATTCATCTTACGTAGCAACATTTTAGATGGTGGTTGTACAAAATTTTGAAATTATTATTTTTGCAGTAACTTATAAACTGAAAACATACGATATGAGGTGTATGTTATTAGCTTTTAAGTTACTGCTCAATCACTGAACGTTCGTCGTAAACTTGTAAAGCTTTGAGAATAAGATGACATTATTCTGGCTTAATTAGCTTTAGGGTGTGTTTAGTTCACGCCTGAATTAGAAGTTTAATTGAAATTGAAATGATGTGATGGAAAAGTTGGAAGTTTGTGTGTAGGAAAGTTTTGATGTGATGGAAAAGTTAAAAGTTTAAAGAAAATATTGAGAACTAAACCTGAAATTTTTAGTAGCTGCTTCCGGGATGTGAATCTTGGGCTTATCCTTGTACTGTCTAGATGGGACATTGAGTTTTACTTATCTTTTAGAGTAAATTTCACAAAACTGCAGGTAATTTGTTCAATCTATCTCGAAACTATAGATTTAAGGACCCATCTCACAAAACTACAGATTTAGTGCATCCGTTATCGCAAAACTACAGATTTTAACATTCACTATTAAATCCACCGTCGCCTGACATGTGGGACCCATCTGCAGTCTCAAGAACCTTCAAGATGCTCTATCTTTTGCTGCCACGTTTGATGCTTGCGTGGTGGAAAGAACAAAGGAGTCGCGGGTTGTGTTCCTCGTGGACTCATTAGGTGGTTTGTTCTTTTCCGCACCACATCGCAACGCCGCATCGTACAATCGTTCTGCCACGCAAGTGTCCAACGTGGCAGCAAAAGATGGAGCATACTGAAGGTTCCTGAGACTGTAGATGGGTCCCACATGTCAGGCAACAGTGGATTTAACGGTGAATGCTAAAATCTGTAGTTTTGCGATAACAAATGCACTAAATCTGTAGTTTTGTGAGAGGAGTCTTTAAATCTGTAGTTTTGTGATAGATTAGGCAAAGTATCTGTACTTCGGTGAAATTTACTGTCTTTTATCATTCATCGCGTTGGCCCTCTGATGGATGGGCCGAATGCCGATCAGGCATGCTGTTCGAGATGCATTTTAACCTTTTAAGCTGCCCTGACCTGGCCACCAAAAACGCTGCCATAAAGCTGGTGTCTCCGTGCTGGCTCTGAACTGAAGGTCGCGTTAGCATGCATGCATGCATGATCACTGATCAGGCGCGATCAGCTTTAGAAAGCTAGATTGGCATTGCCCACTACTTGAGAGATTTACCGGCATGCACAGTCGTCTCTCGTCATTCCTTGTCACCATGGCCTTCTGATCTTGTAAGCAAAAGGAGTATACCTTGATTGATGCATCATGCACCTCGATCTGTATAAATTGATCGAACATTTCCTCACGAACAGAAAAAGATAAGAGGAATTTATCGAAGATTGAAATACAGAGGCAAACTTATCAGTTTTTCTAATTCACAAACATAAATCAAGTCGAAGCCTTTTATCGTCTGCTTATCTCATCATCCACAACAAAAATTTAAATTTCAAAACTTGAAGCCAATTTTGCGAATTTTTCATCGTAGTCGATTTCTCTAACATTAGCCCCTTTAAACCATTAATAATACAGATCATGAAAAAAAAGGTCACTTTCTTAAATTGCTTTGTTTTTTTTCTTTTTTCACGGTTTATCAGTTGTAGCCCAAACGTATGATTGCTTTCATGAACAGTGTGGTTGTGTATCTCCGAAACAGGTGACGCCAGGCGTGAGGCGTCGCGTCGCGTCGTCCTGTTTTTTTTTAACGACTCGCACGAGACGGTGCGAAGTTCTATTGATAGAGTAGGAAAAAAAATACAAGATTACAACCCTGGAGGATCGTAACCAGGAAAAAGAAAAAAGGGCCGCCGCTAAGCGTGACCGACCGTCAATAGACCAACAAAGGGACACAGACGAGATTGCCCCCTAGGTGTAACGTCCCACCTCTCCTAGGCCGAGCCCCCTTACATGCCCTCACAGACCAACACAAGTCTTTTCTGCACAATTTGTCCTCACTCGTGCGCACCCGTCCTCACTCGTGCGCACCCGGGAAGAATTTCCCGATCGGTCGCCCATCCCTAAATTGCTCCAAGCCAAGCACGCTTAACCCTGGAGTTCTTTGGAGATTGGCTTCCGGAAAAGAAGTTGCAACGTGTTGATATGAGTATTCTATTAATCCTATTAAGCCCTTGGCCGGGATGTTACACTAGGGGATGCCAAAACGATATCTTCAAGAAGAAAAGCGACGGAAAAACCGCTGCCGTCGTCCGTTGGGACTCAAAGGAGCCAAGACCGAGCTTTCGCCCGGCAATCACCCTTGAGGGGTGAGACAGCACGACAACGCCAGTGGCGGATCTAGAAAATCGATTCGTTGGTGTCAGAACGCGCTAATTATACTTAGATCATGGTGTTATAGCATATGAATAAGCAGTTTCGCTATAGGTTTTGCCGAAAGTCGTCGGTGTCGTCTGACACCGGTCCTATAACTATAGATCCGCCCCTGGACAACGTCCTTAGGAGGGGGAATGAACCATCGTTGTCGGTCCGGTCAAGGCTGGATTGGGTTTTCACCCGCCGCTCATCGGCTGCGAATCCACAGTATAGTGTCGTCCTGTTGTGTTACTACTTCTTGTGTGCATAGTATAGTGTCGTCGAGACACAGCATGCATGCATGCGGACTAGAACACGGTCGGAATCAGTAGCATCTCTTCGAAAATAACGCTTGATCGGTCGGTAACTGACTATATTTATCATTTAAACTAGTCGTCGTTGATGTTAATACAATAGAAGATTTTTTTTAAAGAAACAAACTCGTATAAATAGATAAAAACAGTACGTTCGGAAACGGTACCCTTTACAGAAAGGGAGCTCGGTCGATCGGGAATTTCACCCCCTACGCGCGCGCGGGTGCCCGCAGCCCAGCCGATCCGATCTGTGGTGCGCGCATGCGTTGTCTGGCTCCACGCCCTGACCGCCCGTCACGTGGACGAGTGCGCGCGCGCGTGCCGCACGCGCACGGCGAGCTCGCGAGCTCGTCGATCACCTCACCTCCTCCGGCCGCGCGGGCGCGGCGCGCGTACTGTTCACCGCTCGCCTCGACGCAGCAAAAGTCCACGCGCGCGCGCACGCCACCACGCGCTCGATCGCTCGCGAGGACGCGACGAGCGGAACACGGCTTTCGCTGCACCGATCGATCGATCGATCGCACGCATTCATGGCGCGCGCGATGGATGGATGGATCGGTCGCAATATTGGTCAAAACTGCAAACGGCAGGGCTCATGTACACGCGCCTAACTCCTGCCGGCGATCGATCGATGTGCGTAGCGTAGCTACAGGGAATTTGAAAAACAAGCTTGATCCATCGATCGATCTCTGAATTCAAACCCTGCAAAGAGAATCGAATCGGACACTGCTATGCTGAGCTAGCTACCTAGTTAGGCTGCTTTCTATTGAAGAGCAAACAGTACGTCGTATACATACACTCCTGCTGCTGATCGATCTCGTTGCATTTGATTCTCACTGTGCCACTACTGCATCATTGGATGGTACATTGGTACACTATGCTCTTCAAGTCTTCGTGGCCGCGCGTGACCGGGTCGGTCTGTCTGTCTGTCTGTCTGTCTGTCGACCTGATGGAGAACTAGCTAGTCTGCAATATAGTAGCAACACCAATGCTTTGCTTAATTAGTGTACAGCCTGCATGCACTGATACTTTCTTTTTACACTCTAGACAAAATCGATGCTGCATGCATCTGCACGCATGCCGCTTAATTCATGATTCTGCTAGCTAGCCCTTCTGTAATTTTCTACCACATACACATACATATATTCAGCTATACGTACTACTATATGTCGTCTTTGTTCGTCAGTTCGTCAGACCTTGATCTGATGGCTCATGAGCTCCTCTAATTAATTCCGGCACTTTGGTTAATTTGCTCCAAAGTTAACATCATTCTGTGTCTCAGTGATGCATGATTCTTCTGCCGGGGCATGTGCTTTGCTGCAAAGGATGCCGTGGTTAATTTGCAACATCGCGAATGCCCACACATACACTGGCCGGCCTGGATAATCGATCGCATGCTAGCTCAGCATAGCAGCATGCAATCAGCAGCAGTGCTCGATATGGCAGGTAACAAGGACTACACTGCATATGCATGGTCAGATCTGATCGAATGCATGCCCATCATATCCGTCCGGAGATCTCTCTCTGTAGATCTTGGCCGTTGCGTACGTACGTGGAGTATATATTGGAATATCTGTGCTCGCTAGCTGTGATCGATCTACAGCTACAGCCTGGACAGACTTAACCGTGCTAGCCAATCACCTTAATATTCAGAGATTTATTCAGATTTCAGATCGGCCAATCTTATAGGCCGGCCACTCCTGATCGATCGAGCCCTGACAACAGCTCAAAGACAAAGGAGTACTTAACTACGTACGTAATCACGCCCAGTACCTTGTGGACGTAGCTAGCTTGCAGCTAGCTAGTTGTATAACCCTGCACTGCATTTGCAGTAAGTAAATTAATGATGCACAATATATCTTTCAGATTCTACTGCTGTACTAATCACCCTATTAACCTGCATTTCTCATCTACCCCTTCAGCTTTGGCCCATGCTGAATTGCTGCTAGCTGCTAGCTAGGAGCCTAGGAGTAGTAGCAAGCTATAGCTAAATTATGGCCCACTGGATGAAGAGGGGGGTAGTGAAGACTTCTGTTAATTTCACAGCCTCTCTGCGTGCACTGGTACTACTACTAGCTAGTGGTAAATTCAAAGCATTCAAGACAGAGGAAAAAACACACAATTCAAGCAGCTAAGCCCCTTCTAGAATGGAACAGACAAAGGTGGTCCAAGGAAGAGCTATAGCAATCAAGCTGTGCATTGCATTGCATTGCATGCATGAGAAGGTTATAACCTCTGCACTCACACCATATGCATGTCCTTTTTAACCCATCCAATGCCCCTTGTTGCTGCAACCTCATTTAGATCTCATCCTTCTCTTCATATATACATGCATACTGCTATAAGTCTACTGTACGTCTACCACAGCTTGCAGCCATAAAGCTCTTCGTCCTCTCTCTTTCTACGGCTGTGGAGCTGAAGCATGGCCTAGCTGAGCTAGCAGCTGGTTCTTGGTTATATAAAGAGAGATAGCTAGGATCAAGAGAGAGGCAGATGGCATGGAGAGGTGTTGCAATGTGCATTGGATGTGTAGATAGAGCCTGCAGATCTCGATCGATCTCTTCAAGTCCATGCCATGCCTTTCCACAGCTTTCTTGAACTTCTCTTGTGCCTCACTCACTTTCATTACTGGAGAGATATGCATCATCAGTGGAAGCTTATAGGGAGAGGAGTGCAAGAAGAGGGTCAAGAAAGCTGTGGGAAGAAATGGCATTACAAGGACTTTGAATTCAGTTAGCAATGCCATGAGACAGGCAGAGAGAGAGAGAGAGAGAGAGAGAGAGAGAGAGAGAGAGAGATGTGATGCTAATTTTCCATTTCATGTAAGTTAGCTTTTCATAATTAGATCAAGTTTTCTCTACTTAATTTGGTGCCCTTTTTGCTTACGTTTTTTTTTCGCTGGGAGGTTTTGCTTACTTAATTTAAGTGCCTGCTAGTTTCTTTTTGCTAGTCCAGCTAGCCACTGCATACTTAAATTTTATATCTGCCACTGTCAGCTCCAATTATTTGTCGTTTGTTTTTTCAAACAACAGTCTGCATGCATTTCGGCATCAATAGAGGACCATCACTGTGTAGCTCGATCATTGTAGCTCATGAAATTGATGTCTCTTCCGTAAAGGCGTCTTCACTTTTTTCTCTTACCATGCATATCATGCATCAAGGCTAAAAAGGAATTCAACCTTTTCCATTTTGCTTTGCTTAGTACTACAGTACCATGTAGGGCTCCTCGCATGCATGACAAGAAATGCAGCAAGATTGTGGTGTTGAGTTTGAATACTCAATGGGAGCAGTATATAGCCGATCTTGATGAATTTATCATCACGGAATGTGTCTATGTTTTTCTTTTTTGAAATAATCAATGTTAAGTGCATTCAGATTTTTCACATTTTTAAATTAGTCCATGCTAGTTTTGGATATATATATATATATATATATATATATATTGATACGGTATTGTATCGTACGTCTGTAACATGTTGGCATGGCCCCACGTATTATCAGCCTCACAATGAGTGATAGTATATCATATAATAGAAATCAATAATACTACAATGAGTGATACAGGCTCACAAATAAGTAGTACTAAGAAAGTTTTTTTTTTGTTAAAAACAAAATTGAATTTTCATTTCACGTTTATGGATGCAATGTATTTGGGCAAGACAAAGATTAGCAGCCTTGGAGAGTTGGGAAAATGTTCCAAGAATATTCTCTTTTTTTTTCCAAAATACAAAGCAGCATAAAATGTTCAATAAATTTTAAGTGGATGAAAAATAGTGGCAAATGTGATAAACTGATAATACATATAATTCCATACTTTTTTTAAGAAATTCCATACTTTTCATACATACTAGTCCGTCCTTTCCCTCTTATAGATTACTAGTACTACCTAGTACTACTCTCTCTCTCTCTCTTCGTCCCAAAATAAATGAAACTACTCCAGCTAGTATGGGACGTGACATATCCCAGTACTTATCTTCAGATTCGTAGTATTATGATGTGTTATATCTTGCATTAGATTTGTTTATTTTGAAATGTGAGAAATAGGTTATCACGGGCACGCTTCCTAAACTCCTAAACTGTGTGATTTATGGAAAAAAAACATTCTATATACAAAATTCTTATAATTTCTTAAACACAACCTTTCAACTTTGTATCCACAAATATAATGGAGTTTATAGCTCGAAAAGCGCTTATTTTCTACAATTTCAGTGCATCTTCCCCACCACTAATTTTGAAAAGATTTGGTCAGCTCCTGCTGAGCCAAAGTAACGTTTTCTGGGTTGGCTTGTTCTGCATAAAAAAACTCTAACTGCGCAAAACCTTCTTCAGTGACACTGGAGCGATTGGATCTATCCTCTTTGTAGGGAGGCATTTGAAGGCACTTCTCACATGTTCAAGGAATGTTCTTTCATCTCTGAAGTGTGGAACAAAATCTGTATTTGGAAGGGGTTAGATCACAACTCTTTGCCTAACAACTTGGATTTGAAAAGCTGGTGGTGCTCTCTTTCAGCCATTCAACCAAAACCCCATCAAAAAAGAATTATGGGTTGTTTGATCACTTCCTGGTAGAACATCTGGTTGGAGCGGAATAAGCGTATATTCCAAAAAACTTTGTCATCGGCTGATAGGGTGGCTTCCTTGATTCTGCAAGATCTTGACCTGAGACATTCAGCTTTCCAATCTCAGTGAGGCCGTCCCTCTTTTTGTAATTTTTGGTTTTTTTCGCTTTGCTTTTGTGCTCTGTTTTTGTAAACAACTTTTTCTTCTTCTAATATATTCCTGCAGCCCTTCTGCGTCGTTTCCCTAAAAAATAAATATAATGGCATATTCAGAAAAAAAAAAGACTATACTGTAGCAAAATTAAGGGGGAAGTTTAATGGGCCCACTCTCTGAAAGGCTGAGGCAGGGGATTGGGTAGTTCCATATCCTGTCAAGCTGGAGAAGTATAGGCTTTTGCTTTAGAGAGTCCCACAGGCAGTGAGGCAGTGACAGAAGGCAGCTTTCCCTCCTGCTCACTCCACCTCTCTTTCCTCACCTCAGCTCAGCTCAGCCCAGCCCGCTTCAGAGAAGGAAGCTCACTCACCATGCATCCATCGCAACAAAACAAAAGAGCAGGGACGGCACATGGCGCCAACGGGGGGGGTCACTGAAACGTGGGCCCCACCGCTGGTCCAGGCCCACATGTAGTGTCAGTGGCTCGTGCCGTGACAGGTAGGCTGCTCTGCTCATCTCCGGAATCTAGATCGATCTCACTCGCCCTGTCTGTCGTCGTCTCGCTCATGTCACTCGTAGGGAGATCCGAGTAGAAGGAGAAGAAAGAATTTGGATGAATTCCACTGCAAGGAAGGCAAAGGCAAAGGGAGCAAAAGCACAAGGATGATGATGTTGGATGGCTGCTTCAGGAAGGAATCCCAGTGAAAATTCTCCCTGGGAACCTGCCTGCCTGCACTGCACTGCAACCCCCAGCATGGGGACAGAAAGAACAATATGCATGCGTGCGTGGCTGGCTCTCTCAGACAAAATACCTGAGGGTGTGTTTTTCATGCTAAAATTAAAAGTTTAGTTGAAATTAAAACGATGTGACGAAAAAGTTGAAAGTTTATGTGTGTGAAAAAGTTTGGATGTCATAAAAAAGTTAGAAGTTTAAAGAAAACTTTGGATCTAAACTCAGCCTGATGTGATTAAGCTAAAGTAGGAATAAATGAACAGTAACTCCAACACACCACTTCATTTCACTTTTGACCGGTCACTGAGACCCTTCTACTGAAGTATGAACCCCATGTAAATTAAAATGCAGATATATATGTACAAACACAGGTGCAATGAAAAAAGGAAGTTGAATTCCTGCCGGTTTATAGTCAAATGAACTCCAACATTAGGCAACCGACCAGATCGTATGTCTGACAGAGAGTAAACACATGAAGCAACAGTGCATGTATCCCTGTTCTTGAATCATCCGTGCAACCCCAAGCCCCAGCTAGGATTCTTTGGCCTGCATAGATGGGATGTGTTGCGTACATGGAAGCAATGTAGCATGTCCCAACCCTCCATCTAGAATGGTGTCTATAGCATTAACTACATTGCCATGTAAAACTTTTAGCTTATGTGGCACTATATTAATTAAGTGAGAGAGTGAAGAGAGGAAGAAACTGGGTCTCATGCAAGACACAGCTTCAACACGAGAACCTATACACTAGACACTATCAAGTTTTGTATTGGGAGAGAATAATGTCTTCATAATAGATGAAGAATAAATATGATTGGTAGAGAAGAGAGATGATGTATTTATTAATGGCCCACTTTAAGAAACCATGGGTTGTAGAGTGTAGTTTCTATCGTGATGTCTTATTAAGATGGCTTCATAGACACTACTTATGGATACTATAGGTTGGGACTGCCCTCATGGTTTCTTTGACATATATGCATCGATCAAGTCATCAAGAACAAGAACAAAGGCGTGTTCTCACAGGCTCGCAGCCGGCCGATGAAATTCAGATCAGAGAATTCAATGCTATGATTCACGTACGGTTGCAAATAACAACGTGATCGATTTTGCAAGATAAAAGAAAAACAACAGCGTGATTTTACAAGTATGATCGGTGTGGTCAGATTATGAGATTATGACTACTATATGCATGTTAACACTGTTAATTTATCAGCACGTGAAAAAGTTTACCCTTCCCCTCATTTCACCCCAGAAAGCACATACAATTACTTTGTCTAAAAGCTTGCGAATTGGGTTCCTGAACTGCACTATTCAACCCCCTTTTTTTCATATTATTGCCATGCACTGTTCAAAACCTTTTTTCAGATTATTGCCATGATTCATCTTCTTTTTTTTTCTAAGTGGAGACGACGCTATAGTTCAATCGGACGCAAAAGGGAAACATGACACATTCCTGACTCTCTCTCGTTTGGATGAATCACCTGATCTGTTGCTGTAGTAGAGTACTACTCCTCCTCCTACTTTGCTCCTACTCCTATACGGAGTACTTCAGAGTTCAGAGTGACAAGATGCATCTCCTACTAGACCACACGTACTTACTCCCTCCGTCAAAAAAAAAAAAGACAAACCCTGGTTTCCATGCCCAACGTTTGACCGTCCGTCTTATTTAAAAAAAATATGAAAAAAAAAGACAAGTCACCCATAAAATATTAATCATGTCTTATCATCTAACAAAAATAAAAATACAAATTATAAAAAAATTTCATATGAGACGGACAGTCAAAATTGGACACGAAAATTCAGGGTTTGCTTTTTTTTAGGACGGAGGGAGTACTCCTCAGTAGAAGTGAGACACATCCTCTCTTCTCCATCCATCAGATCGTGTGTGTATATGTGTGATCATATCCATGGACAACAAGATAGGCCAAGGAGGAGAACTGTTCAGGGGTAAGAAGCCATGTCAGTCAGTAGTGTTGTGTTGTGTTGCCCAACATCACACACAAAGCTGATCAGTAGCTAAGCTAGCATAGCTGCAGCACAGGTATGCAATGGAAAGCAATGGCAACTGTTCGTTGAGTGCCTGCAGCTCAGCACAGATCACCAGCTTGACCTAGCTAGCCTAGCTTTGCACTCTCTCTCGTTTCAAAATGTACTTCTTCCGTCACAAATTAAGGCTGTGTTTGATGAGAATGAGATAGAGAAGATTAGGAAGATACGTAAAATGAGGTGAGTCATTAGTACATAATTAATTGAATATTAACTATTTTATACTTCAAAAATGGATTAATGTGATTTTTTAAAGCAACTTTTCTATAGAAAATTTTTGCAAAAAACACACCGTTTAGTAGTTTGAAAGCGTGCGCGTGGAAAACAAGTGACAATCTCCCCTATCTCTCCTGAAATAACCCAGCCTTTAGGCCCTGTATAGATGGGACTAAAACTTTTAAGTCCCTATCACATCGGATGTTTGAACACTAATTATAAATATTAAACGTAGACTATTAATAAAACCCATCCATAATCTTGGACTAATTCACGAGACGAATCTTTTGAGCCTAATTAATCCATGATTAGCCTATGTGATGCTACAGTAAACATTCTCTAATTATGGATTAATTAGGCTTAAAAAATTTGTCTCGCGAATTAACTTTCATTTATGTAATTAGTTTTGTAAGTAGTCTATATTTAATACTCTAAATTAGTGTCTAAATACAGGGATTAAAGTTAAGTCCCTAGATCCAAACACCACCTAAGTTGGAGGGACTAAAGTGGAGCTCTCCACTTTAGTCTCTCACAAAAACATAAGTCACTACCATAGAGACTTATAATTTTGTGAGAGAGACTAAATTTAGTCCCTAATTCCTAAACACCCCCTAAGTTGTTCGGCTGCCATTATTGGCAGGTGCATGGCAGCTAGCTGCAGCAGCAGCAAGCAGCACAGCCACAAAAAATTGCAGCTGAATATGCCCTATGACTTTGAACAAAAACTGAATCATTATCTCATTAAAAAATTATACAAATATAATATAAATATATATAAGATATACATAAATTATCTCTAATGTTAAAACAAATGACAACAAAATAGATGATATGTACTCCTACACAATTATATTGAATAAGACAAATAATTAAACTTATGAAAAAAGAATAGCAATACCAGCAATGACATCTATTAAAAAGTCAAAGGAGTACTCTAACCATTAAAAAAAATTCAAATTCTAACTATGAACCCGATGATGTATAGGACACATAAGCCTATAGTGCGTTTAGTTCTTGAAAAAAAGTTGGAAGTTTGAAAAAAAATTAAGAGTTTGAAAAAAAATTAGAAGTTTATGTGAGTAGAAAAGTTTTTGATGTGATATGATGTGATAAAAAGTTAGGAAAAGGAGGAAACTAAACACGTCCCTAGAGTTGCCAAAGTGAAGTGAAGTGAAGTGAGAGCACGCTTGCATACTGGGGAAATCTCCAGGAATAAAAGTCACATCATGTCGTAATTAGATTCATCGCTAACGCATCACAAGTACTGGGGGTGTGATTTGAGGTTTCATGTATACACTCCTTTGCAGGGGCACCATCGTTTTCCCCTTTTTCAAACAAAAGATCTTCTTCTCCTACTACTGAGTACTGACCTACAAGTACTGATGGATTGATCCATCGATTGCACCCTTCAAGCAACATTCACGGCAGACGTCAGGCCAACACGTCAATCGTACTACGTACTGCTCTTTTTTGTTCTGAGAATAGTGGAGTAATCTACCACAGTACTACCCCGTCCCAAAATAAGTGCAGCCGTGGATATCCATGCCCAACGTTTTGACCGTCCGTCTTATTTAAAAAAATTGTAAAAAAATTAAAAATATTTAATCACACATAAAGTACTATTCATATTTTATCATCTAATAGCAATAAAAATACTAATCATAAAAAAATTTCAAATAAGACTAACGGTTAAACGTTGAACGTTAATAGTGCAAAACTACGTTTATTTTGGGACGGAGGGAGTATTTTTTTAGGGTAAGTAATCTAGTATATATATTTGTAATGCAATTTGTATACGTATGTGCAGACAATAAATTTAGTTTTCGCGTTAATTCAAACCTGCCTGAACAAAAACGAAGTCACACCAATATACCAACAAACATTACATATATGGAACAGCAGATTAATAGCAAATTAACCGTCGGTCATATATGGAGTATATGGAGTACTACTAATTGGGGAAATACTGTGTTGGTTTCTATATACATCACCATATTCTGTCATTTAAAATTCGCATTCCTTTATCAAGCAATAGCTGTGATACAACAAGAAGAAGTTGGAAAGTATTTGAATACTTTGTAAACAGTTGAGATCTCACAACAGTGCATGCATGGCGCATTTGAATGTTAGGGAGAAACAAACAAAATGGGGGATCCGAGAGATGATACAGCACGCGATTATAATAAACAAATACATATATAAATAACCATGGGAAAATATACCTAATTAGCATACCTCCATCGATCCATCGTGCGTGAGGCATAAGAGAGAATTAATTGGGAATTTGCTGGCGGCGTCACTTACAGATACCGAATGACCGATGACGAGATTTGGTCTCTCTCTGCAATTTCCCACAGCTTTATTGAACTGCTCTCTCTGATGCCAATGCAACCGATCGAGTCTAACTACGATCTCTCAGAGACCAGATCACAATTAACCAAAGGGATTATTCATCATGCGTGCAGTTCAAGAAAGCTGTGGAAGATCACAAAGAGGGCCAGATCGATGTAGTACATGCCAAGGCTATAGCTATTTCATGTGTAGATCGATCCAATACACATCGATCGATCGATCGCACACATGGTTCGCTGCACCGCTATCGAAAGGAAATTGAGGAAGAACAGATGGAAAGTCAATCTCAGGGCGAGTAGGATTGCAAGGGATAGGGAGGAGATGGAGAGTTTTATTTGTGGGAGAGGAGAGAATACGGGCAGTTATTTATAGAACCAACAAGCTAGTGGAAAGTAGGAGAAGAGGTTGAGGAGGGCAGCATGGGGTTGGTGGAGAGAGGTTGAAGGACCCCAATCCCAAGGAGAATATAGGCCTCCTCCTCTTCAACATCAGATCTGTCAAAGGAGAATATATAACATGTTCTTTTAATAGTTGAATGATTGAATGATTTTGTATTAACTACTCCATTTCGTAATTAACTGTTGTAAAGTTTTAAAAATATATAAAGGCATAAAGCCTTCTTTGTGAAAATCACACTGTTTAATTAGGAGGTGGGAACACCCTCTTAAAACCTTAACTATTGGATTACGTTTTAAATACACATGTAACTCATGATATCTGTTGGATTGTTTAGGAGAGAGATGATTATTTATCTACATGTGTAATTTAGGAATTAAAGCTCTTCAATTATTTCTATTCATTAC